CCCACATGACAGATAACAATGGTCCCTAACTCCAGTACCAGGGGAATCCAAAGTCCTCTTCTGACTTCTGCGGGCATTGCACAACGTGGGTGCACTTACATACATTCTAGCAATACACTCATGCACATTTTAAAAAATTATAAATAAATGTTTTAAGTGAATAAAAATAGATTGGACCAAGTTGTCCAGTAATTTGAGAATAAAATATGTATTATTATCCCTCTACTCTTTTGTTACCTGTCTTTGAACTTTTCACATTTCTAGAACTTTTACTATTACAACTGAGGGAGCTATGATAAATATTATCAACCAAATTATCAACAAAAGGGGATGAAGAGATGACTCAATAGTTAAGAGCACTGGCTGCTCTTGCAGAGAAGCCAGGTTCGGTTCCCAGAACCCACATGACAGCTAATAATCATCCATAACTCCAGTTCCAGAGGATCTGATGCCATTCTTCTGGCAACCACAGGCATTTTATGACATGGATGCACTTACATACATGAAGGTAATACACTCATACATGTAAAAAAAACAATAAAAATAATAAAATATTTTTAAAATTTAGCCACAAAATACTAATTAAAAAGGAATTTGGGGGTTTGAGAGATGGCTCTCCAGACAAGAGCACATACTGCTCTTCCCAAGTTCAATCCCAAGTTCAATCTTCAAAGCCCATATCAGGTGTGCTCACCTACAATTCCACCTCCAGATCTGGCCTCTCTGGTCCTGGAAGCACCTGTGCTCATGTACCCATACTCATACACAGACACACAGACACACAGAGACAGACACAGACATGCAGACATAATTGAAATTCATAACAAATATTTTTTTAAATGAGTTTTGTCTTTCTGGAATCTAAAAGAACCTTTAAATTCCCTTTTGACTAACAAGTGAGAAAATGCTGAGGACCTACACTGCTGTACCACATAGGCAAAGCTCTACCCTGAGTTACATCCACAACCTTCTTTTTATATTTTAAAAAATAAAATTAGGCAGGGTCTCACTAAGTTGCCCATCCTGAGCTTGAACTTACTCTTTAGTCCAAGAAGACCCTGAAATCCTGACCCTGCCTTGTCAGGCTCTAGAGTAGCTGGGGTGACAGACCTGTTCCAGTAGGCACCATTCACAAACTGCTTTGTTTGGCAGTAGCCCATTAGGAAGAATTCACATTTTTTAGACTCTAAAGATACTCATCGTTAGCTTATCATTAGAGTCTTAGAATGAATAAAATTGTAGTTGGTGAGGTGGGCTCAGAGAATGTGAAGCCATCTGTAAAGAGGTTGCATTATGTAATATTTTAGAAGCCATGTTGCTTTTTCTTAAATTATGAATCTCTCCAAACACATTTATGGGATTAAAAATGAACTGTTGGCTAGAATGAGCTATTTGGTAATTTTTTATACTGGATTTCCCCACATTTTTGTTTATTATACTGTAATCAAAATAACCTTTTAAAATACATTAAGCTCAATAAAACATAATTTGCAATACAAAATAACTAGGAAAGCAAAATTCATGCCAAAGTACTGAGTCTTAAAATTAACTAAAAGCAATGTTTGTACTTGGAGGACTTGGGGGGGCGCCCTGTCTGTCTACCCCTTACCTACTGCTTTCCTAAGATTCAAATAGAGAGAAATAGTTCATAAATAAGAGCTTTGACGGACATGTTGAAAGTAAAAGAAATAACCTAAAGTTATTGAGTATTATAAAAAATAAATCAGAACTGGAATGTGAAATAAAAATTTACAAACTGCACAGAATTTTCTGGATTCCAAATAAAGAAGACTATTAAACAACAATAAACCTTGTACTTCTGAAAACTTTCTTGTGCGTGCAGACATTAATTTTGTAACTGGTAGACAAAATGAAATTTCCCTGTTCAAAAGGATGGAATATGATCAGGGCTGGAGAGATGGCTCAATGGTTAAGAGCACTGACTGCTCTTGCAGAGGACCTGGGTTCGATTCCCAGCACCCACATGGCAGCTAACAACTGTCTGTAACTCCAGTTCCAAGGTATCCTATATCCTCTTCTGACCTCCTGGGGCATTGCATGGCACAAGTATACTTACGTGCAAGCAATACACTCATTCACAAAATAAAAATACTTAAAAAGTGATACACTTAAAATATTTTTTAAAATGATAGACTATGAAACAACAGTCAAATAGTTTAACTGACAAGGAATACTAGAGATTTCCTGTCCCTGAGATTTCTATCTGCAAGCCTCCATCTTAGATCTATGAAAGTTAAGAAGATATGCATGAACTACATAATATATACATATATAAAACATATATTGACACTGCATTGTATTTCAGAACTAAACATATTGGCACATTGTATTATAAAGTAAATGTGTACAGAGGCACGTACTGGCACTACATTAAAAACTTGCGGAAAGTTTAATGGCAGTAATGATTACATCTGGGTTATTGAAATCTGGATAAAGTTTTACTCAGTAGGTGAGAATATTCTGTTATTCTACAAAATTTCAATGAATTTCCAGTTAATTGCCCCTCCAAAAATTACTTCAATCTGCAGTATTTGGATGCATAAAATGACTGGTATGTAAAATGTGCAGATGAGAGGATGTAAAAAGTACTATTATAGGATATTTTGGTAAGGTGTGACTATTTTAACACTGTTAGTCTTTTATTCTTAAAGCTCTTGAAATGAGTCTATGTCCTCTTTAGAATGATGAAGTTGTGGTTTATTTTTAAAGCCAGTCTTTAGAAGCATGGGGAGGGTAGGCAGTGACGACTAAAGATCACTGAAGAATCTTGATCCTGTTACGTATTAATGTCCATTAAAGTGCAAAACTAGCCTATTTAAAGGTGATAGAACCACAAATCAATGATGAAACTGTCTCAAATAGATTCAGTCATATATGAGGAACTTTATATGGCAAGTTTCCCCAAACAAAACAGAAGGAATACCTGAACACATTTGGTTAAAATAAGAGTCGGGGTGGGGGGGGTGAAGGAAGGAGGAAGTGAGGGCCAGTGTGAGATAACTTGCCAAGACAAGTGGCAGAAGGACTGATGAGTTAAAACCCAACCAGACACTGAATCATGGGAAAAGCCAAAGTGGCAGGAACCAGAGCATACTATTTGAGAAATCAGGAACAAGTTATTTTTTACTTTGATACACTAGAGGAAATGCAAAATTTCTACACATGTTATTAAAAAAACATCAAATTTCAATGAAAGTATATATCAATGTCAAAGTTACTAAAAATAGGAAAGAAAACCCAATATTAGAAACAACATTAGCATAAGATAAAATTGAAAGTAATCAAAATATGAAGAAAATGTTCATTATTAGCGAATGAGGTTCACACCAAAATAAATTTGAAAAACCATTTGGGAAACAATTGAAATATCAACATGAAAATTTAAAGATAAAATGCTAGTAAGCATATGGAGACCTGTCATCCCAGAGTCTTTGCAAAACGTAATTATATTGAATATAATTCCTCAGAAACAAAAGATATATGTGTTGTGTTCTATATTACAGCAAAAATTAAAATCATATTTTTAAAAACAAATAAGACTATGAGAATCACAAAAGAATTGGTGGTATGTTTATTGTAAAAGTTAAAGCAAACCATATACTAGGGTATATGCCCTGTAATCACAAGCACCAAGACATTTGGGCTGTTACTATGGTATATAGACTCTTACTGTACACACCATTGCATATGTGTGGTTCTTACATACAGCAAAGTGTATGTACTGCTATTTCACGTACTGTGGTATGTGCTGTTATTACATGAACTGTGCTGTAGGGACTTATTATACACACTGTGGTACATGGGCTGTTATTGTATATGTGTGGTTATTACATACACATATGTTGTCACCACATGCCCGGTGGTCCTGTTATTACATGCACCACGATGTGTGTTGTTTTGCTGTTATTGTATTGTTAATTATATATAACTTATGAGTTATTTATAACTTAGGTTATCAAAGAAAATATTTGTGGTATAAAAAAGAGAACAGCAAGGATTATTTAACTGTATTGTACATTTTTTCAGGTATATTTTTTCATGAAATAACTAGAATATATAATTTTAGTAGCCTCTCCCAGTTCTGTGAATTTCTATGGAATGAACGAAGAACCACTGATATTACTAAACAATGATTACTAAAAATGATGCCACACGTGAATGCCTTGGCAAGGCAGCATTAAAGTATTTTCAATGCCAGCAGGGTGGAGCGCCTGAGCGTCTCTCTCTCTCTCTCTCTCTCTCTCTCTCTCTCTCTCTCTCTCTCGCTAAAGAAACAGCAATAAAACCCACCTAATGCAGGGATTCCCCATGATATCTATACTTGGACTGACTTTCTGGGGTGCGGGTAGATAAGGCTCATCTGTAGAAACACGAAGAGCTCTCCTGGTGATTCTAGTGATGCATAACGTTGCCCTCCCAAGAGCGCACTGTCTGTGTTAGGGGACATGTGTCCCTTTTTCCTTCTCACACAGCACAGACGTCCTGCCCGCACACCCTGCTCATTGGAGGACCAGGCACGCTGTACAGCCTATTGCATTTGCTACCCAGGCACATCGGGCTTAGAAGACAAAGTGCATGGTGCACGGAAGAGGTTCAGAGTTGCGCCACCTAGCTCCCCAAACTGCAGAGAGTTGGCTGTGGACAGCTTAACCCCAATCCTGACTTCTTTGTCCCCAGCCTTACCTGTTTCCTCAGGTCCCTGGAAGGCGCGCCTGTTCCTGCGGCTGCCACTGGAGTTGCTGGCTCGCGGAGCTGGAGGAGCAAGGAGCCCCTAGGAACAGAGAGACCGGGTTACCGGACTTGCGTCCCAGCGGGGGCGAGCAGCGCTGGGGGCTCCCACGCGCAGGGGTGCAGGGCGGAGACTCACACTGGATACCGCGGTGGCCCCGGGACCCGCTGGGGAGGCGGGCGCGGCTGCTCCGAGGTGACCCTGCAGCTCCGCGCGCAGGCTCAGCAGGTCCGCTTGCAGGGAAGCCACCCGGTAGAAAGCCAGGGCAGTGAGGCCGCTGGATAGCAGGGCCAGCAGCAAGGTGGCGACCAGCAGCCTTCCATCCCTGCAGATCCGGGCCCAGGCGCTGTCCTCCCGCTGCGCGATGGGAACACACCCCACTTTCATTTCTTCGGCTTTCTTAGGACAAGAAGAAAGGGAGGATGACTGGGGCCGGCTCTCTGCGGAGTGGGACATTCCACGACGTGCACTTTGAAGGTCCGGGCCTTTGGAGTAAGTGACCGCAGGCATGGGTCATTTCCTGTTATCTGTGTCTGTGAAGGCTGCCCCTCCTGGCATGGCAGGACCAGGCTCCCCCAGGAGCGCTCTCCTGACTTTCTCCCAGCTGCATCTTTCCCCTACCCTGAAGAAGATCTCTGACCTTCCATGGATTGCTCAATCAGCCTTCCTCATTTCACTTTCAGTTTTTGTAAGAATTTTCATGCCATCTCAACACAGTAGTGCAGTGGGAGACCAAAGAGAGGACGTACTGTGGGACACTCGAGGCCTCAGATTGGGGAAACCTGAGTTTAGACTGGCTCACTCCAGACAGAACTTTTAAGACTGGAACCCATTGAAGGTGCTTTCCCTCCAGAATTTCTTTGAGAACTCTGCATGGCCTCCAAGGAAAGGGAAAAAGAAACATTGAAAGGCTCGCTGTTGTAATAAAAATAATTAATGTGTAAGTCCGATAAGCTCATGCTTGAGCTCTGATTGCTCTCAGCTGGATGACTTCTTAACAGTTCCCTAGTGGGAAATAAATGAAGAACCCAGAAAGGAGGCTGGAAATCCAGTGGGAGCTGTTCTGACTCTTTACCTTGACAACGCCATAATGAGAACATGATTCATTGTTAGACTATTCAAAGTAGCTCTGAAGGCTCCTTAAATATGGGGGTGAATTAAAGGGAAGAATGTCTTCCCTTTTTCTTTCTGAGACTCAATATTTGTGAGGCATTAGTCTGGGTCCCACCATGAACTGCGCCCAGGTGCTTAAGCATAATCCCAGGCATACTGTACCCATCTCACAGATGTGGACTTATTGTCCTGAATCTGTGGCTGCACTTCACAGCATACAGCTGCAGTTTCACTCACTCTAACCTCTTCTGGTCTGGAGGGTTAATTTGGGGACCAGCACCTCAATAATGGTTGATTCTTCAACACAGGCCACTGAGCACTTGCCCAGTCTGTGAAAGCACCACCCCCTTAAACCTCAGATGGCTGATATGGCTCAGTCTCATGCTACATTCTCATGCAACCTTAGGAAGAAAGTTCCAGAAACAACAAAGCATAGCAGAAAGGACTCCAGAGGTATGCTTCCCAGGCAGCAATCTTGCTTTAACCCTCACCTCTTTACATCAATTACAGAACCAATGTGTGGTACAGTTTCCCCCTTTGCAAAATGGGATTTTAATAGTGTATGTCCCTGGGGCTTTAAAAAGGCAGGGACATAACAACGGACATTTAACAGGCTTCCATTTCTTATTTATTCCATTTAAAGTACAAATGGAGTACTCTTGCTCTTATAGTGCTGAAACTGTTGTTTTTTTTTTTTTTTTTTTTTTTGGCGAGGGGGCATGTTCCTGTAACATCAGCAGGGTATTACCTACCGTCCTGGTTACTTTTCTGTTGCTGTAATAAAACACTGTGATCAAGGGAACTTATAAAGAGAAAAATTGATTTAGCTTGCTGTTCCAGAGGATATGGTGGGGAGGCATGGTGGCAGGATGTGGCCAGAGGAGAAAGCAGACTGCTCACATCTTCAAGCAGATATAGGAAGCAGACAGCAACTGGAAATCCAGCAAGGCTTCAGAACTCTCAAAGCCCACCCCCAAATGACATACTTCCTCCATCAAGGCCACACCTCCTAAAGCCTCCCAAAACAATGCCACTAACAGGAGACAAAATATTCAAATACTTGGAGCCTATGGGAGGCATTCTCATTCAAACCACCACACCTACTAAACAATTACTGGGACCAACATATCTTCCCTTTTGCAAGGTGTCAAGAGGTATCCTCCAATGAGCTCCCCTTTCTTCAGTCACACTGCCAAATGATGCCATCAGCCATTACCTGTGTTCTCATTGGGACTGGGACATTTTTCTTCTTAAACTTCTGCAAGTTCTAATGAACACATTAAATCATTCACTGAAATCTTTTTCCCCAAATAAAGGGCACCTTAATTTCCCAGGTAGAAGTCTTTTTTAAGATGTGTACATGAGCTCTTTTACATCTGGTATCAAACAATACTTCTGTCACCTTTTTCCGTATCAGCGGGTAAAGCATCTTGATAAAGCATCCTCGATATAGTTTCTGGTACAAGTTGGGAATTCTATAAAGACCACTGCATCCCGAAAGTGATTAAGATTCATTCAAGACAACTTAGTGGCATGATTTCAATCCCATCACATAAAAAAAAAAAAAGCTGAGGCAGAGGGATCACAAATTTAAGGTGAGCTTGAACTGCTTGTCTCAAAACAGTAACAGCAAAACAACAATCAGCAAAATCTTTCACTCTTGTGTTAATGTTCCCTAAATCCATACAGAAGTTAAAGGATTGAAAAGTGTGCAAGGACCGGAGATCTGCCACCTCTCTCCATGTTCTTCAGATTAATTGTCCAGAGATCTATCAGACGATCTATCAGGCAGAAAATGACCTCTGCCTCCCTTGCCCTATTAAGCAAACTTCGTGGCCCAACTTCTCAAGACAGTGCCGGACCAGCTTAAGTTCTGACTGTTTTTTCAAAATATTTTATTGATTATTTTTTATTTTATGTGTGTGAGTGTATTGCCTGCATGTGTGTAAGTGCACCTGTGTTGTGCAATACCTGCAGAGGTCAAAAGAGGGTGTTGGATTCCCCTGGAACTGGAGTTACAAATGGTGGTTAGCCACCGTATGAGTGCTGGGAATTGAACTTGGCTCCTCTGCAAGAGCATCCAGTGCCCTTAACTGTTGAGCCATCTCTCCAGACCCAAGTTCAAGCTATTTTAAAACAAGTACCCAATGTTAGCTGACACTGCATCAGTGGGTAATTGCCTCTTCCTGGAAAGGCAGACAGGCAGGCTCCATTTGGAAAAATGCCATTGGCACTTGTATGTGCTCCACAGAGGTCACACAATTAGACAAGTGTACATCTAAGTCACATTTGTCACTCTTGATTTTCTTATTAGAGGGTCAAAACAAAGTTCTTACTCTATAACTCAGACGTATGTTTCCTGTAGAAGACATGGTTTGATGATGATTTGATAGGAACTTTACTAAACAAAAGACATATTCTTAATCATTGAATAACACATTGCACTAGTGTTTCCAGGGAGGAAGAGATTGCACCTGGGCTGCACGTGCATGTCCACTGTCAGTACTTGTCTAGTTTTACACAAGTGAAGCATTCTTCTGAATACAGGTTATACGGCAATCAAATAAACGCTGAGATGCCATGTCCATTGGATTGCCCATTTGCCCATTCACTCAGGAGCATTCAGATGGGACTAAAACGACTACAGAGGCCAGCCGACAGAATAGTCAGGCAGAACCACCATCCCCACTTTAGCTGCTTCCTTCTTATGTTGAAAATTGCAAAAACACTCCAACAGCTCCATTATAAATTTCTGGCAACAGTGCTATCTGTTAGATGGAATATTGTGTAGATGACTGTTAAATTCAATCACTCTGTGCAATAGTTTAGCTCTAGTTTCTTTCATCACTTTCAGAATAAGAGTTTGGCTTAAAAAAAGTCATCCATTTTGACTGTATTTATGCCCAAGTCTCTTTTGGTACTTGTTTTGTGAAAAGGGAAGCCCTACATTTCATTAAGAACTTATAAAGTTTTCTTGATGAATTTCTTCCTTTATTGACATACAGTATTCTTCTCTATCCTATCTCTTCTCTTCTGAGATATCAGAATAGCTATACCAGTTAGTTATGTCTTCCATTTACTTGATAGGTTGCCTTCTATCCTTTGACTATCAATTTGTGGGTCTGTGCAAGCAAGATGTGTCTCTTTGACATACAGATAGTTTTATCTTGTTTTATAATGCAATAAGTAAGTTAGCATGAATCTTTTCATTGCTGCGTTGAGCATATTTGCATTTAATGATAGTTTTGAGAGGGGTTTGCTATTTCCTGCGAGTTTGTTAGTGGTCATCTGAATGGTAGGAGTACTGTTAATTAGTCCTTTTCTTCATTTCCTGTTAGCATTAGGGGTTTGCTGGTTTGCTGTGTTGGACATGAGATGGGCTTCTGCCCAGCTCTCAATTGTTCATGCATTGCTCTCATGTAGTATATCCTTGATGAAATGACTTAAGGTAGGTTCTGCTGAATGAGACTCTTTCTTCCTCCATACATGAAGAAGATCATAAACAACCTAATTTTGTGCTAGCCTTTAAGTGTTCTTATTTCTGTTTGCCCTGACTGGCAGTTATTTATTTTCCACTCTCGAAATACAATATTCCATGCTTTCCTGGCTTTTAGGGATATTGCAGGATATTTGATCCTGTTCTGATGTTTCTGCCTTTGAAGATGAGTTAGTGTTTTTCTATTTCTTTTATTTATTTTATTTTATTTTATTTTATGGGTCTGAGTGTACTGCCTGCATGTATGTAAGTGCACCTGTGTTGTGCAGTGCCCACCAAGGACAGAAGAGGGCATCAAATTCCCCTGGAACTAGAGCAATGGCCATTTGTTAGCCATCATGTAGGTGTTAGGATTCAAACCTGAGTCTTCTGCAAGAGCACCCAGTGCCCTTAACCACTGAACCATCTCTCCAGCCTCTTTAAGTTTTTAATACTGTTTCTTTGCTTTGCGTTTTTGACATCTTGACTGTGACATGTTATGGTAAGGTTCTTTTTTGATTATATCTATTTAAATGTTAAATAATTCTTGCTTCAGTGCCTATTTCTCTAGGATTGAAAAGTTTTCTGTTATAATCTCATTGAATGAAATTTCTATGTCATTAGACTTTATCGCCTTCTATTCCATGGATTCTTAGATTTTTTTCTTAAGTGTTTCTGATAGTTCTTGGAAGTTTGATTGTGTTCATTCTTATATGTTTGAATGTATTATTATCTCAACCTTGAATGGCATCCTTGAATTTGTTCATCTGGCTGATCTCATCTGTTAATGATTTTTTTCACTGTATTTTGATTTGATTGATTAACTCATTCATTCCTAGCATTGCTCCACAGTTCTTTTTCAGAGTCTCAGTTTCCATGTTGAATTTATCTTTTCAATTTCTAGCAATTTTATCTATTTGCCAACTATATTAGACTATATTCATTAGACTAACAAATCTATAGAATTAACATAGATTATAAATGGGCATGTATTCGATTGGGCCATGTGGTAGAGACTGGCTAGTCCTACCATATCCATCTAAACACCAACCAGGCTGAGAACCTAGTAGCTGCTCAGACCACGAGGCTGGTTGCCTCAGCAGTCTTAATATGGTACTGAAGGCCTGGAAGATTCCATAGTATTAAGTCCACAGTGAAAGGCCGCAGAAACTGGATTCTGATGTCTGTGAAGGATGGAGGCAGCAAGAGCAGCAGCAAAGTTAGAATCATTCATCACCAAGAAGCAATGGCTGGCCAGCAGGCAGCACTGCTCCCCTGCCCCTAGTCACTTACATATGGGCCAGGCCACTCATCAGAAGGTACCACTTCTTCTAGGGGGTCTTCTCACCTCAGTTTATCCTTCCTGGGGATGCCCTTACAGGCCTACCCATATGCCTTTCTCTTAG